TGCTCTATCTTGTACATTCAGTGTTAGATCACAAAGTCAAATCCGTACGTATTTGTTTTCTCGATTACTGTAAGGCCTTCGGCACTGCAAACCGTGAGCAGTTTTTGAGAGACCTGTACGAGGCCGGAATTCAACTCTTTACTGTCCACCTTTTGAGCAACCATTTCAATGGACGTGCCCAGTTTACGCGACTTTGAGGTAAAACTTCCTCACCGCTCACCACAGACGCTGGAGGTTTTCAAGCGGCCATAATATCTCCATACCTCTTTTCCACCTACATTGCCTCTTTACCTGCCGCTGCCGACGCAGTATTGCTGAAATATACAGACGACGTAGTCTTGGGTATGCAACAACCGCCCGCAGCTTCATCAACTAAATTACAGGCCTATCTGGACAGACTTATAGTATGCTTCGGAGCTCACTTGTTATCGCTGAATACATCGAAATGCAAGAACGTCACTTACTCCCTACATAAAGCTCAAGGTTATCAGCAACTTCTCATGGAATATCCTGAACTTCCCACATACGACGAGAAATTGTACTCCAGAATGTCTGTGAGGTTCCTAAGTGTAAAACCCAGTCGCGATCTATCCTGTTCATCCCAAGTTAATGATGTTTTACAAAGGTGAGGAGGCTTTCGTTCTCCGCCCTTCATTTGCGACCCTCCTCTGTCCCCACAACTTAATTCTGAGATTTGTCTTTCCCCTTTGCCTTACCTCTTGGAACATATTACTCCACTGTGATATTTCTTGATTTTCTAGGGAAGGTCGCTGACGCTATTAGCTCAGTGTAGTGAAATTCCCAAGCCAACATTTGCTGAGGTTCTTGTGTCCACTCACACCAATTCATGCATAAGGCTTGCTTCGAGAATACTTACTGACATAAATCACCCGCTTCGTAGTGCACTGTCTGAGTGTTTATTAGCATCCACAATCAGACAAAAGTTTAGATCCATTTGTGCCCGCACATGGGCTTATCACTCACCCATTAATCCATATCTGACACGCTTTTTGTGCGACAAGACATCAGTTGTTCTGGAGCCTAAAAACAACTTTGCATTATAAACATACTGTTGTTTATACCACTTAATACTCTACCTGTGTATTTATTGCTTTATTTCTTTTATTTTGTTGAAAGCGAGTATGTAAAAGCTGAATATTCACTCTTATGGGAGCATAAAGCACTTGGTTGAATTGAATCATTTGAATTGAAACCAGTTCATGGTAAGCTCTTGCAAATAGGCCTTGAACTGCCCCCCCCCCTCGGTTGCCGGAGTTTCCAGAACATGGATGTTGATATCTCCTATATTTAAGCTATGGGTGTATTCCTGACTTTTCACATTACGAAATGCAGATATTACTCTGTAATCCATATCCGGAGTGGCTTTAGGTGGTCGATCAACTACGGGCACGAGGCGTGTATCGTCATCCTTCAACCACGTTTTGCACAAAAGGAGATCAGTGACACATGGTTGAGAATCATCTATTAGCTCACAACGAAGGTTTGCTTCATACTAAATGATCACACCCCTAACCTACCCATTCTGTCGCTCCGGAGAAGTGACATACTGTGAACTGCGATCTCAACGTCGGTAACTTCACAGCTCAGCCAGGTTCCGGTGATCATTATGATATCTCGAGGCTCGGAAGCCTAACAGTGACTGAGTTCGACTAACTGACTAATAAGGACTTATGCGTTAGTATACAAGAAGCTCAGTTTCTCAGCAAAAAAGTGCATCACTACATGTTGAACTAAGACTGGAAATGGTGCTGAGCGTCTGCCAAAAATTCCATGTCCTCACCACCAAGATGAGAGCCAAAATCATGTTTCTGCACCGCAGTACGCATTTTGCGAAATTCGCTAAACATTAGATGGCTATTGGATGGTGGGGACAACAATCGTAAATGACCGGCGTTCACCATAAGCGAGCCACGGTAGGTACGGTAGGTACATGCACCGCGCTTCCCATACTGGAACGCGGTCGTCGGCCTTCTGCCGCCAGATTACTGTGTATTTGCTGCACTACGGTAGAAATCTGCTGCTTTTTGAATAAAATTCTTTGCACTGAGCATGAAATATATTGGGCATTTCTATGGCTGCGATCACTACTCGTATAAGATAGGCAACTTGCTTCAATTAACCTAATGGGAAAGCATTTTGGACGAACACATCCTCCGACTACGTTCATTATATACACACGAATGCTAGAGACTTAAGGTACGAATTAGTACGATCAATTACCACTTTTATGGGGCTTTCCAAAAAGCTGTACTCATGCTGACGGCTTGTCGATCCTGATGACTAGCCTCGCACTAACTCCCTGACGCACATGCATTGACACTCCGCTGCACAATAGCTCGCCGATGAGGACACCTCCGTTGGTGACGAGACGCTTGTAGCGAAACTGTGTAGCTCAGTAAATAATCTGACCACCAGCAACTTTTGTGGACCTGCTATGAGCAACTGTCTGCTAGTGCCTGAATGATGTCAGTGGCGGAGCAACTACTTTTAACGTCCGGGGCGGTGGTAAATTATGCACCCGCACCGGCAGTTGTGGATGCACAAACCTGCAAAATCGGCTCAGGGTAAAGTGCACATTAGTTTTCGATAAAATAGTTGATCTTTTGGGACACTGAGGTAAATGTGGGGAAATTGACCACAATGGTACAAGTAAGGGGAAATCACGTTCGCACAGGGGTGACACATGGGGAGAAGGTGCTGTTGAGCACACAGGCAAACAGTAAAATATTCAACCCACAGCTTAGCTGGAAAGTTTGCCCTTTATATTTGGTTTCAAACATCCAACGGTACTAATGTGTCGCCTGCCCTCTCCCCTTATGCTACACGTTTGAATGGTGGAATGTGTCGCCTAATTAAGCATGTTCATAGCGCAGTGGTCGACGCTATGCATCGAATGAGCGAATAATGGGCCAATCTAGGTGGGCGGAAGCGCACACAGAACTAAGCTAGGAAAAGACTTACTGGAATGATGATCAGCTAGCTATGGCTAAAAATAGGGTCCTAAGAAGAAATCTAGGGCAGAGGTGAACGCGTACGGTGTGAGAAGATGGCCGCCGGTAACAGGTAGCGTCCGTGCCGGAAAGACTGCTGCGTGTGTTAACAAACAAACATGCATCTTAATTTCCTAAGTACATAGTAAGACTATACTTTCAGCTTATTTTACATAGAATTTCCGCAGTTAAACAGGGGTATCTGAGGTCACTACACGTCCCCTTTGTCTCACGATTTGCCAGCTGCAGGCTGCTTGATCAGCATTCTAAGAGAAATTCTACGATACCTTTTGTGTTATGAGCAAGTAGATGACAGCCGTCAATAGCAGCTGGTGCAAAATTAAATGCATATATTTTGGCTCACAACGGAATCGAAAACAAATGTAGAGCATGGGCTAACATAGAAGCGAAAGGGGGCAGGTAATCACATTCAACCACGCCTTTCTTGGAGTAATACTAACGTCGTCGCTTACGCAGCAATAATCTAGTTAATCATTGAGCAGCTCAACACCGCAAACCCAGAGAGTTTACTGGAGTTTGACAAACAGGAAATTAGGTAGAAATTCGTCACATCTAGACTTACTCAGACAGCCGCCACACGCCCGGAAAAGAACTGTGCGCGCGTTTCCTCCTTTCGGGAATCATCAGCAGTGCGCATTCCGTCGGACCCTTGGTAGGGCTCGAACCCGCAACTCGACTGTTACCAGTTCGTGGTTGAGACCACTGAGTTACGGGGGACGGCAACGACCATCGTGAATAAGTTACTAGATGTGATATAGCGCCGCACACTATCCACAGGAAATTCACTGACGAAAAATTACCCAAATAGTTTGTTCCGCTCACACACTGAATATGCCTGTGTCAGCTCAGGTTGTAGTTCATTACAATGTAGAGAAGAAAACTGCAAATCATCCGTTTTCAGTATTGTCCAGTCTAACAAATGCATCTAACCGTAGGTATTGTTGTCAAACAAGCACCAAACAACAGTTCCATATGTGCGTAGCCGAAATGACCCGATTTCCCGGACGCTTTTATTTCACCTCGACTCAAAAAGTCCGTGAGTTAATGGCACGTGGGGCGCGCATGTATGTGATCTGATGGAAGCAAGAATGATTCAAAAGGGTCTTGCAAATAAGGTATGCACCAACTAACCGGTTAAAACAGCAGTAGTATCTGTAACTCACTGTGCGCAAAGGAGCAGACAAAATATCCCTCTCCACCAGAATGTCGACAATGTTTATGTGAGTTTTCGAACGTCAATATGGATCCCGATATAGTGTTGGGCTGATGAGTGAGGCTGTCAAATAATCTTCATATGGCATACGGACTAATGAAAGTAAACACTACTGTAGACAGGCTAGCTACCACTTGCCGTTAATGAATTGAGTGTGAAGTTGATGACGATGGGACAAATGCTCATCAGCGCATTGTGGTTGGTAAATGCTTTGCTCTGGAGTCAACCTTGCTTTTCAATCATTTCTTGCTACTAGACTCCAAGTTGTCTGGCGGCCGAGTGGTTTGCACACGTGGCTTGCAACCATAAGGTCACCGGCTCGTATCCGCGCCTGGACTGGCATCCTCGCGGTTTACTCAGCCCACGCGTGACTGGTGGTGCTCGCGCTGCAACAAAGCGCCGTTATGGCGAACAGCTGACGATTTATTTATTATATATTATACTCAACTCCACGCAGTCTTCTGGCTACTTTACCCAGGAGAAGCTATACCTAGGTTGATTTGTCTCCTAAATATGTGGCATACTGTTTAGTTTCTGGGCATGTAACTTTCTAAGTGGTCTAATTGCCACTGATAGGACCGGATCGTAATTGCTCATCAATTCAGGACACACTTGGCTGCGTGATCGAATCCCATGATACGTTGAGGTCAAGCATAAAGAAGAAGGTAAACAGGCTTAACTACCTGCAGCAGTATCCTCATTATGGTTATACGAAATTCGGTCTTCAGGTCTGCTATTACGCTTGTTCCCATGCAGGTTTCCTGCCCACATTCGGACCGTCGTGGCTCAACTTGTACGGCACACCGCGCATATACACTTACGCACAAATGCTCAGACCGGAGGAAGAGCTAAACATGGGTCTTGGGGAGGGGGTTGCATATCGAGGGCGACTGCTGATCTCCATACAGGCAAAAGAAGACGAAACCATTGAACGCGTCGGAACTGCAATCGAAGTTGCTACCCCTGTTTCCGAAGTGAGTTCGAGACGCACAATAAAATGTACGTGTTGCTACACCAGCTACCTTGTAGACTTAAACCCAGCTGTCATGCTTATTTGACGAATGGTGCAGTCCATGCTGGGAATTCGTAAAGCGTGATGAATGAAGCTTTCGGGTGAAAACACTAACTTGGAATTGTTGCCACGGCCAACTGATCCCTGATGCAGCTGTACATAATTACCACATAACACTTCACTTTAGTTGAAAAACCTTTTGTTTCAAAAATGTAATGTCGTAAGCCGAACAACTACTTTAACTGTTCATTCACCAAGCGTTCCAAAATGATGACTCCGTTCTGTTCCAAACATATTCCAAGATATAGCATGTAACACAGAAGGTTGTAGAACAATTAGTACGCGCTTCTGTAGTGATTGTCTAGTCCCCGTGCATCTTATGTGAGACAGGCAGCTTAGTTTTGTACAAAATAACTGCAACTACTTTCCCAAACATACCGCCCTTAGCATGCATACAGAAATTATTTCCTTTAGTACCGGATATCCTACCTGTGATTTCGATGCTCTTGGTGAGTAAGTTGAGCAAGTTCCTCTATTAGATGCCCAGAATCCAAACAAATTTTCTTCGAAGTTCGCATTCATTCAATCTTCGAAACTTTCATGTTAACGAGCCTCCTGGTCACGCAATAACAGTCGGTGGAGAGTTGTACCATGCTGATCGGTTGGTCGCTCACTACATGAATCACTGTCGTAGTGAATAAATTGTAGTAACGTATGTGGTAGTAGTAACCTATTCTGGCCTGACGATCTTCGGAAAAGCATGCCCCATTCTACTTCCCACGGGGGAAGAGAGCTCACTTTTCACTTGCGTACCTCGCATAACTAAACGTGGGCACGCAAACCACTTTTTACACACTGATCGATCCCCCATTACCGGCAACTGCTATGCTGCCAACCCATTTCACGTAAATGCCTTCGTCACCGTTTGTCACTCTAACTCAATGTTCATGTCTGTTATGACGTGAGTAAGCCGCCTCATACAAATAAGTGCACATGCACCGGTGAAGGATAACTACGAGTGCTACCGAACATCAGATGACGCAACTGTATTCGATTCCATGTGTTATGAAACCCTCCGAGATGGTGGTTATCGATCTGCGCAGCCCCGGATGAAAAAACTGGGAAGGACCTTCGGTTACTGTAGCATCCTAGGGATTGCAATGTGGTCTGCTTCGCCGTATGCCTCGGTCAACCCAGCTTCCACAACCACCATCCAGTACTAGTGTATGTCCAGAGCCAAGTGGACTATGCCATCGATGTACCCCAGGTCTAGGAACTACAAAACTTAGTCGTTTTCGCACACTTGGTTGAATTATGCATTGACCGTACCAACCACTACCGGTTCTATCCACATTCCGGTATTGTATGTACTTACTGCGAGTACCTCAAATCAAAACAAGTTGCATAGTGTATCTCATCTTAAACCTGCTTTCTTATCTTGACTGTGCTATATTTCAGACAGTCGCTGGTAAACGTAATGTCTACTTCCTATTCGCGTCTATCTTTGATGCGACAGTCATTGATCGGAAAATAGGATCAAAGAACAAGCCCATATACTTCGAACTCAGTATGGGTAAGTAACTATTTACGACCAACTCAGTTTCGAGTTACGCCTGATGCGAGCGATATGCTATTCGTTCACGCTATGTCTCAGCCACCTTAAGCCCTGGCGTAACAATACAACCTCATGTTATCAATAATAACCCGTTCAAAATTCCTTCGGGTCGATGCATAGTAGATTCATGGTGATCCAGTGTGTTGATGAATATCTCCTTGTTGTGCCGCGGTACACCATAGCTTACGCAGGTCGAACGTGAGGAGGCCACGTTCGGTGGTCCACCAAATTGTGGTTTCTCCTGATCACTCTGACAGTCGTTGTTTTCGGTCGCCGTCCTAGCGGTGAAAACCACTAAGCTGCTATATGTATGTTTTGGATTGGCATGAAGTCAAAATGGCAGAAAATTTTGCACGGTCGTCTGCATTGATCAAGGACCAACCGCCCTCCCAATTGATCTGTATACTTTTCTTGAAAGTGAGCTGAATTGAGTGCCTGGTTCCAGACGTGCCAGACACATAGAACTCTACCGTTGTTTTCGTTCTAGCCTATGTACACCAATGTAAGCCGCTGACTATTTTGACATACACTTTGTTTTTCAGGGTTATTTGGAAATAAACTGGACGGCAAACGTGGCGGTGTCGATGAATTTCCAGTTGCAGTCACTAAAGAATGTGAGTTACCTCCATGTGTGTGCTACAAAAAGAAACACCAACTAAGCGCGAGCGTTTGTGCGCAGCCTTCTGTAAAGAACGGGCTTGTGGTGTGTTTACTTAGGTCAACCATCATGGAGATAAGTAGCGAAGCATGTCTGACAATTTCCTTACTTAATGGTCACGGGCGAACTGCGAATAAGATGTAAATGTGCACATCGTTAATACATACTGCCGTACACCGCTTCCAATCAGTACTGGTTTGTGTGTTTCTTGCAACCTAGGTCCACGTTTGTTTTTGGTGTTTATTAATGACCTTGCACAGGGAATCGCTTCAAACTTCCTAATGTTTGCCGACGATATCAAGATCTGGCTCAGGATCCAGGCGAACGCCGACCAACATGTGCTTCAGAATGATTTAGATACGGTGTATCAATGGTCGACCCAAAACTTATTGCTATTCAACGTCAGTAAATGCAAGTTACTTTCCATCCGACATCAAAGCAGCTACTCATACCGACTCGGAACGGATTCACTGCAACAATCAACTCTCGAACGTGACTTGGGTGTCCTGGTTCATGATGACTTGGGTTGCTCCAAGCAATCCGAAAAGGCCTCGAATTCCGGGCTGTTGAGGCGGGTGTTTGGATAAATAAAGAGCTCCATATTTCGATAAATGCTCGGTGCGTATGTTCGCTCCCATGTCGAATATGCAATTCAAGCCTGGCATCCATGGCTGAAACACGACCTTAATGCACTGGAACAGTCACAACGCCGGGCATCTAAGAACGTATTTGGAATGCGCAATCTTTCCTACCAGAAGAGGCTGCAACGACTGGGATTGTTCAGTGGAAACTATCGCAGACTACGAGGCGACCTGATTATGGCATACTTGATTCTGTGAGACCCACATCATGTGTGCCGCCCTTTACTGCAACTCAGCAGCAATACAAACCTGAGGGGCCACTCATTAAAACTCGCAGAACAATACTGTCGTCTGGAGTGCCGCAGAAATTTCTTTTCCATTCGTGTCTGTCACGCGTGGAATGCTCTCCCAGAATCGGTCGTCTCTGCACCGACACTAACAGTATTTAAAAGACGGTTGGATGATGCACTCATCCACTTACACTTTGTTACTTAACACTACGTCTCCATCCTACACCTGGAGTTTACCATGGAATTATTTGTTGTTAACTGTGGATGCTGTGAATCTGAGAGGATCGCAGGACTGCAGTGAAGCAAACGATAAGTCCTTATTTTCATATTTAAAGTATTAACTATTTTACTATCCTTATTATCATTATTGTTATGTTGATATCCCCTGCAACTATCCAACGGGACTTGTAAAGCAACGCTTCTTAATCCGTATAAATTCATTGTTCATTGTTCATAGCTGATGAACATGGCGACATCGATCGTTCACCAGCAGCCCATTCGTCAGATACAGCCACAAACTCTCCAAACAAAACTATCCACAGAGGCGGGGTGTACGTTCTGGCTATCCACAAATTCGTGCGGCTAGAGTGTCAATGGTGATGAATACACCTCCGTGCCATAGTGGATGGCTGTGTTGTGTTGCTCCCACCTGCAACCACCCACGTCGACAGCGCTAACACCAAGAAGAACAAGGGGAAGCTTTTTCACATCAGAGAATGGCACAGTTTATTTAGCAATCGGTCTAGCAAACGAGCAACAGTCAGGACCAACCAAGCAATTGAAAGCACGGGACCGAGCAAACCAATAAAAGAGCAGTCACCTAGGGCACCAGTCTAACGTAATCAAGGAAAGGCAAGTGCTAGTGTCAATTACAAGGGGAAACTGTGGTAAATCATCAGAAACCACATCTGTTAACAGTCAGTAGGGCTGATAAAATGGCACGTTATAACGATAGTCAGGAGATGGTGCAAGAAAAAGTAATATTGGATTAATGAGCTGTCACACAAAATGCATCTCAGTGAAGCGTCTGCCTTTCAAGGCTAGAATGGAACTCTTAAGGAATCAGCTCCGGCAAGCATGACAAAAAAGACGCGCTGATGTATGCGCTCCCACTGCAGGTAACTGAAGTGACGGTGAGAAGGGATTAAGAGAGGCCAATAACTCTAGGATATGGGGGCAACTCGTCGTTTAGATATCACACGTGTTACTCCATCTAACTCCAGAAAGGTTGAAGAAGAGAAATAGCGCTCAGAAACGAGTGTGAAGAATTTTACCGTGCAACACATAAAAGAGTACTGTGCTACTGCTCTTCAAGGAAAGAATCCTTGGTTAATACCGAGACGCGATGCATGAGTATGGTGACAAGGATTTGCGACTCTCCAACGCATCGCATGACCGCTATTACTTCATGCGTCCAGGTTTGAGCAGTTTCGATTGCGTTCCCAGACTTATGAACAGGGCAAGTGAGTTACAAATATGTGGCCAGTCTTAAGCAAACAGCAGACTAAGTGTGCTACCATAAGCGGGTCCGTGTAGAGGGATTGTGTCATCCTAGTACCCTTATCTATCGGTTACCTAAGTCACATCTGGCTCGCGAACCTTGTGGTCAGCTGAAGCTTGCCGTGTCTCCGATTGGTCTAGCTTGCCCAGCACTTTTGACGCCAAGAAATTCCATACCCTCGAAAGCGCCAAATGCAATATTATCCTTCACTTCTTATGCTTTTTGACTGATCAGTTTTAGATTCTGCGCCACCTTGAAACGGTATGGATCTCCTTATCGGAGGTTTAGCTGATATATTAAGAGCAATTTCACTAATGGGGAAAGGCCAGGAATTGTCGCACGGACGAATGTCAGCTATTTCGCGTTTCCTCGTCAGTCCTTTACGTACAATTAGTGGAGTGGCTAGCTTTTATACGGACATCTGGTCACGCGTGGTCGAAACCTGCCCGCCAGTTCGATCGCCCTACAACTACTTGAATGCCCCATATGTGAAAACCCGCGTGAATCATTAATGATAATCAACCGACAGAGCGTCGCCCACCTGCTTCAGTTTGCTGAGGCTTCGGCAAAATAGGCTGCTGAAACCCGCTCTGTGTAAACAGGCCGAGTTCGTTGGCCGTCTCGTCTCGCCTTGGTGAGACTGGTAAGCAAATTTCTCTAAGCGTAATGATGGCCAGCGTCAGACAAACTTTGACCGCTATACCTTCACAAATGATGTTTTACCCCGAATGTCTCGGTTTGCAACCTACCCATTCTACTAATTTTGTGTAAACGGCTAACAAAAGGACGCGAAAAAATTGACTTCAGATTATCGTGTCGAAATTTTGTTCTTTGTTGCCATTCGGAACTTTTTGAAAAGAAGGTTTGGTATGGAATATCAACTACTCGACAGTTCCAGAGATGATGTGATCTTCACTTCGAAAGAACACGCAGTAGCACACCCCAACGGCCTTTTTTGGATAAGGAAGTATCCAAAGCAACGTGTGCTAAATAGCTTCTAATTAGAACGCAGATATAAACAATTTATTTTTCGGAACTTCTAGTGAATTTGTGCCCGACCAACGTAGGAACTTTTCGAAACTAGTAAGTTACAAACCACCATAACATTTGGGTGATTATTACACAATAAGTAAAATACCCTCATTTGCCTTCCCCATGCACTTACACTTTCGACTGGGAACAGCAAAGCCCATCTCATTCTGGATGCCTCCGAAACAGGGCGACATATAAGGGAGATCTCTCGAATGAATTGCGGTCACTCGACAAGGTGCAACAGTATCGATTTTCTTAGCCCCAGCAACAGTGCATCCTTGTGTCACATGGTTCACGGTGTCCCCTGGAATGCGACTACAGGATTACATTGCATACGGCGAGCTTCCCGGATTGACCGTTTCAGTGTCAAAGAATGACATACAACAACGGTTCGCAGGCAGCAACTAATAATATGACGAAAGTCAGTCACCCTGTGTTAGAACTGACTCAGCAGTGAACACGTGAACATTTTGGCAAATGAAATTTGTCGTTTTCTGTCTTGATGGAATAATCACTATCAGGGAAACAGATATTTGAACTATAGGCAGCGTCCATTTGCGCAGTACTAATGTACTTATGCTCTGCCATGGAGTGTATTGTGGAAACTTTACGGTTCCACAGAACATCGCGCCGGACACTTTTTCCCGTCCTCCAACTTTACCAGTCACGTTGCCATGCGATGCATTGGCTGCGGCAAAGTTATTAGTTGGTAGACGTCGGTGACAACGTTAGCAGTTGGTAGTTCTCTGTCTTACCCAAGAGACACTGTCACCAGGTAGCCGATTACGCTATCACCATAGTGATACCGTTGTTGGTTGGTAATGAGGCCACTCCCGCTAACGAGGAAAACCGTGGTATAAATACCAGGCTGTAGAAACTGTGCTGATCTTTGCTTGGCCTTCGCTGGAGCAATAAAGGCTTTTTGCTGAGAAGCAATGCCTTCTTATGTCCCAAAATCGCGAGTAGTCGTGCGGTATTCTTGTTAGTCCGGTACAGTGAAGAAGAACGATTGACCGACTAGGTCACTCGGGGCGCGTCGACTGGGAATTCGATCACCCACTTGTCCGCGCCGAACACAGTCCACAGGAGCAACATCGTTGTTCTGACTAAAGGCGTTGTATCTCCAAGTGGAAGCGGTTACAACAGAGTGGGAGCATATCGTCAGTTGGAAAACCTCTGACAGTCTGTATGACATCTGAACCAACCTCATCTACTTCCCAGTTTGTCTGCTGTCTGCATTCAGCTGGCGATCATATACCCTAGTGGAAATGCCTAGCTTAAGTTGACTTCTGTCAGAATCCAACCCGTCCCTAGTAACCAATCACGCGTCCCCTACTGAAGCTTGCAATCTAATTGTGAAAATATTCTTGCGGTAAACATCACTTGGTAGTGAATATAATAAATCTTCTTTTTCAATCACTTGTAGCGTGCATACCACTGTTAGCTTGCTTGTAGACGGTCATGCGATAGTTGAGTCCAATTATCGACCTACACGTTGCATGAGCGCTCGGAAATATGCCATGATTACATAACACTTGCTCCTTTCTTGTCTGCATTCATTTACTTCTGTTCGGATCCATAGCTGACAAAAGGGAGCGAGTGGACTGGAACCAAAGTACCGTCAAACCCATGCTGGCCCGAACCGATGATAAAGAATACTACTTCATCGACTACGGTCCAATAAAACCGTGTGTATATTTTGTCAGTTATTTCGAGGACCATCGATCTCGGATGTGCCATCCAAATATTGTGGAGAAGCTTTATAACTACGTGGTAAGTCGACTGCTTGTATACATCGATGCGTGTGATTTACGTCGGCATTATGTTCACAGCTTTACATGTATGTGATAGTGGCGGAAAGCTGGAGCGAACCGAATCGCTTGCTTTAGTGCGGTCGACCAGGCGATGGATCGCGCGGACGAGTGGGTTTTTGAATATACAGCTCGTAGTTTGTCTCTGAGTTGCAAATAGAACGTTTGTGCGCAGAGCGGCGTGAGCTCCTTCTTTTGACGCAGCCGGGGAACCCAAAGCACAAAACAATGTAACTCCTGCTTCTTCCGTACCGATGCTCACTGTGGCATAATGATAAAGCAGCATCATGTAGGGGCAACACGGTATTTTACAATTTCGTATTACTAATGGATAGTGGGGTATGCGTTCTTGAGCGAGACGTTAGCACGAACTCTTCCCTTGGTTAACTGAAACACAAATTTGTGATTAGCATCTAAATTATCTGATAATCCCGGTGTTTGATATTGAGTTCTTTATATCTGGATTGATCAATTGGTTAACCGCAGTTTTCATTCGTGGCGGTTCTAACATAAGCAGATGAGCAACCTTTTTAAATTGGTGTTTCAATGAGGGGCAATGACTTGACGCCAGATGAAAACCGTTAACTTTGCGTCATCTTCTATCCTCTGTTTAGTAGCTCGCCCATGCCGCACAAAAACGGTAGTTACATCATTTGATGATCAACCTCTACGACAACCGAAACGTCCACGCGCACACTAAGCTGATACACTTGCAGACATCCTGGAGACCATAAGTAGAGACCAGCGTATAATCCCTCACGGGCAGGTACACCGCACTTCGAACGGACGAACTGCCCCGCTCCGAACCGCTATACTCGAGATAAGGGTTTGTACAGGTTTTGGAATTTCTGGTAAACGGACATCGTCACTTACCGGCACGCTGAGTGTTTGCGCTGCTTCAGGAATCGCGCATACTGACGGTCAGACTCAAAAACGCATAAAAGAGGACATGTCGGTTTAGGCCCTATAACTCAGTCACTGGGACGGGTGCACTGCAACGAGCACCGAGGTTTGGTAGCTATTCTCTTACACTGGTATTACATCATCTACCTGTACCTGTATACAGCTTGGTTACATCTAGGACAGTGCATAATCAGCATTCGATTTCCCTGTTCTCAATATACTACCCAGCAAGTGCGCTGGGGAGTTCCGCATTGTACTAATTCTCACCTACATTTGTACTAGTTAGTCAGGCTTTAGTTTTCATATATCGAATCGTGTGCACTATCCTCGATACATGCACCTTCACCGACCAACGTTGCTCTTGTCAGACAAGGGTGTTAACCGCACGTAATGACCGAAAATGCCGACAGTCCTTTCCATCCCGGTAACCGATCAGTAGTCACCTATCGTGACTCCTGACCAACCACGAATTCATTCAACAACTACCGTGGTGCGGACAACGTTCAATTTCCAACTACGGAAGTCCAAATCACTCTAAAAAGTAGTTGCTTGACCTACAACTGAAGCAAGTTCTTCCGACAAGACAAAAAGGAACTCAGGATCCAAAAATCAGTCGTCCATTACCCGGCGAATTTCAAACGCAAGCAAAACCCCTATCGCTAACCATCATTATACACGTTAGCTGCAGGTGGAAAACACTTCAGCTATTGTGTCGCAATGCAAAGTACAAGAAGTAAAAGTACATTGGCACGCCGGCTGAATCCCCAGTAACTAATGGACATCGTTCCGGAGAGCTAACAGCTGGCTATCGTGCCGCTAAAACTATGTTATGCCTAACGAATGAGATCGTGATTGGAGGGGAGACTAAGCAGGAAGGGGATGGACAAAGGAACACAAAACACAAAAGCCACGAGGCCGGCTCCTAGCCATATCAGCAAGTGTGTCCAACCAAACGTGTTCATCGTCCTCAGGACCCCAACCAGGCAGTCGTGATGTACCAACCGACGCCAACTACGAAGTAGGGGTTTTCATTTCTCTCGACCAAGTCATCGCTTGGCCTCCTCTCCTCTTCCAACCGCATCCCGGAGCGCAAACTATGCATGTCGCGGAAGTCGATGTGCTGGCATGCGCAACACGTATCCCAGCCATCGGAGCCTGCTGCGTGATATAATTGTGCTGAGCGGTTCACTCGCTCTTCCTGCACAAAATACGCGACGCCGAACACGCTCATTGCTCACGCGGTGCTCCCACCAGACATGAGCTAAGCTGCGAAGGCAGCGATGATTGAACGTGATGTGCCACCTTATGTCTGTCGACCTGATGGGCCAGGTTTCACAACCATATAGGAGAGTTGAACGGACGGCTGCGTTATAAACGCTGACCTTCAGGGCGAGAGTAATGTCGCGTCTGCGCCACAGGTGGTTGAGATTGGCAAAGCACCTCGAGCTTTTGCTATATGGTTCCTTACCTCATCTTCGACCCAACGGGCGCTAGTATAGCTGCTCAGGTACTTGAATTCCTGGACGACTTCTAGCAGATCACCACCAAGCCTTAGCGCATGGTTGGGTCCCTGCCAATCATGGAGAAGTATTTTGCATTTCGATGGAGCAAAGCATAGCCCAAAACGATTGACAGTCAGTGCTAATTGGTCCAGTGCTGCTTGACATGTTTTGGAGCAGTCACAGATTAGGACAGTATCGTCCGCGTACTCCGAGTCAAGAAGTCACTCATCAGGAAGTAGCTCCACACCTTCTAGGTCGTGTCCAGCGAACGCTGTTTCCATGACTTCATCAATAGCGAAGTTGAAGAGGAAAGGTGACAGTGGGCATCCTTGTCTCATACTGCTGGTGGTACTGAAGGGTGACGACAGTTTGCCATAAACCCTCACCCTGCCCGAACTATGCGCGTACAGCGCTTTGATAATGTTTACATATTTATCAGGCACACATTTCCTCAACAGACAGTCCCGAAGGGCACATCGATCGACTGAGTCGAAGGCAGCTTTTTTGTCAAGGAACATGACAACGGTGGGTCGCCAATATACATGGCGGTGCTCCAACAATTGACGCAAGGTGAAGATGTGGTCGATGCAGCCCTGACCTCGACGAAATCCGGCTTGCTCTTCACGAATCTGGCTTTCACGGGTGCCAGTCAGTCTGTGGAGAATGACAGAGGCAAGCAATTTAGAGGCAATCGAAATCAGACTGATCCCTCTATGATTGCCGCATTCCAAACGGGAGCCTCCCTTGAAAATTGGGACAATGACGGAGCGGTTCCAGTCTGTCGGGACTGTCTCCTGCTCCCAAAGTTTTACTAGCAACTCGTGTAAATCATCTACTAGAGCAGGTCCCCGAATTTGAAGAGGGCTGGGGGAATTCTATCTGCCCCTGCGGCCTTATGCAATTTCAACAGCTTGATCTCACGTTCGACTTATGCGCGTTCGGGCGGATCCAAGGAGACGGCCCAAGGAGAAGGACGCTCAATGCCTGAAGAAGAAAGCGATAACTCGGGTTGGTTAAATTGCCTTGCAAAGTGTTCAGCCCAATGCTCCAAGCGTTTGACAGGCTGTGGATTGGCTGTCCACTCTCGTCGCGTATGGTCTCGCTAACACCAGGTCTTCTGCTGCCTGTTTCCCGTATCAGACGGAATAACTTACGACGATTGCAAACGGTAGCGTCTGTTTCCATCTCAAAGACAAGATGAGACCACCAGGTTTCGCGGTCTTTCTACAGGCTAGCACGTATTTTTGCTCTAATATTTTTGCGAGCCTCACTGTATTCGCTTCCAGCCGAAATACCTCGGCGAGCATCCACAAGTTCCAGAGACTGTGTAGAGACCCAATGTCCAGTTTAGCCATTTGATTTGCCATATGAAAACATGCCTACTGATAGTAACGTTTGACGAATATGCGACCAGTGATCTTCGACGGTGTTCAGTGGGCGCTTACTCAGCCCGGATGTCAGCGCACTTTGATACACCTTTAGAACACATAGCTTCGCCAGCTGGCTGGTATCAATCCGTTCACGTCGACGTTGCGGACGTCCACCGAAACGCACCCGGTGCGTGATCAAAGTCTACGCTCGTACTCCAAATCGAGTGACAGTTTTGGACACAGTCTCTCCAACGGTAACTGATCGCGATATGATCGATTTTCGTCCATTGCTGGCCCGAGGCTAGTGGCCGCCAAGTCACCTTTCTGCGGGTGCTGTGTCGAAAGTTAGTGTTCGTAAGAAAGAGATGAGCATCTTCACACAGCTGTAGCAATCACTCACTGTTATCATTACGGGAGCCTACACCATGTTGGCCGCCCGAATGAAGCCCATCATATGACAATTTTCCGATTTGGACGTTTAGATTGCCAGCCAACACCACAGTATCCGTGCTTCTTCTGTAACGAAGGAGATCTTGAATTTGCTGATAGAAATCATCTTTTACCGAATCAGTGCTGCAGTTTGTAGGGGCGTATGTCGCAATGACAAACAGACACCGTTTGTCTCCGCGCGACTTCCTAGTATGGAACGAACCAGCTAATCTAACGGCGCACATCCTACTGTTTACTGGGATCCAATCGATCAGGACAGCTTCAGCCCGAGGACTCAAAACAATGCCGACGCCAGCTTGACCGGCGTTTGAAGCTTCCTCATCGTCAGACAGGTGCAATGAGAATGTGTCGCCAGTCTCGCATGTCGGGGGTCGCAGGGTAACCACGGAGCTAGAATCTTGCAGGCAGGTTTCTGATAAACAGCAAATATGGATCGATAGGGTCTCTAGTAGGGTCTCTGTAGTGTGCGGGCAAATGCTACCTGTTGGCCATCTGTAGCAAAGTGCGCGCTTTGAGGCATGCTAGTCTTAGCGAGACGCGAGGATTCAAAAGGGAAACGGATGAACTGACGTCCGCTTGGTTGAGCATGAACTTGTTAACTGGATTGGAGCGACGCCCTGCGACTATGTGTGAGTTGAAATTAGCAGACAAGCGACTATTGTAGCAACGTGGAGGAGGTCCAAGAATTGGGGATTGAAAATGGGGGGATATAAGTAAAGGTGGAGCGGGACGATAAG